ACCTTCGACATTATTATTATGCAACAAAAACTCTTACACTTACTGCATGCTTCAGGCAAACAGACTAACAGACAAGCATGTTTTCATTTTTTAAGTTGTTGATACAAAATTTCCTACGCTGTTCGGGTAGCTATTCATACGACCACGACATCAAGGAGGATGGTAACTCCTTTAGACGGGGGATTCAAAGCCCGTAAAATTATACAATATCGAATACTATTACCTGCAAATTCGAGGTAACGACTCGTATACAAAGTTTGCCAAAACGCTGAAGTAAGCATCAGTGTTCACTGACATAAACAAATTCCATCACGATTATCTCATTTGGGTGTCTGGTGCAGACATGCTAGAATCAAAGTGCTCAAAGGCAAATTCACCAGCATTTGCCACAGACGTCGTAACCAACCGTCGAAAATCGATGCCTCCGACCAAAGTAAGTTGAATCAAGTTATTCTCATATATCCGAACACAAAAAAGAATCGTCTCGTCGGACACCGGCACGGATTGAAGGACATCTTCCTTCATCGGCCGGATTGGCCTCCCAGCAGAGCAAGAGATGGTAGAAAAACAATCCCTTTAGTTTTCCGAACATATTTGGGAGTACAAATTAAGGGAATATCAAATAGCTGATATTTTGTTAGACAAATTTTAATTATATTTTTGGGAGTGACTAAAAAAATACTTAAAAATATAAGAATATATTAATATGTTTATCTTTATTTTAAAAACAAATTAGTTGTACAAATCTATATTTTGTTTTTTTCTCAGGTTGGAGACACAGGTTCGAATATCTTTATTTCCGTTAATAAACTAATAAAAAGAATATTTAAAACAGAAACACACCTGAAAAATAAAATTAGGGTATTCTGAAAAAGTAAAATATGAAGTGCAAAATTTTAATGAAAGAAAAAAAAAAAAGAAAAAAAAAAGAGATTCTTGGGTGGCGGGTCGGGTAGGGTTTGGGGAATCCGGTTGGCGATTTACACCAAAGAGAGATGTAAACGGGACGGGAACGAATAAGCCAACACAACTAAAAATTTTCCTCTCTCGGCGGAGAGGCGGAGCGGGAACCAACTTCTTCTTCGACGAATAAACTCAAGAGGGGGCTTCTACGTCCATTCTCACTCTCTTCTGATTCTTCCTCCAATTTCCACTTTCTTCCTTCTGATTTTCGTCGACGATGGGAAGAGGAAAGTACAAGAGCAAGCCCACCGGCCGGCGCCAATTCTCCACCCCTGAAGACATGCGTAAGCAATAATTCTATATCTTATTTCACTACCTTCGTTTAATTATTGAGGAACTCAAGATCATGAGATCTTTTCTTTCAGTGCGCGCGTCTTTCTCTGCCCCTAATTTGATTTTATAGAATTGAGCTGAGAAATTCGTTTGGAACCATTTATTCTTTTTCCAGGATATGAGCAGGTGCGTGACTTAAAAAGTCAAGTATTTGGAATGATGCTGGATATATTAGCGATATCAGCTGTTCTATATGCAATGCAACTTAGTTATTTTTAAATCATTTTCAGCGACTATGAGGAGGTGCTTGGTTTGGGGGTGAGATTTAGGCTTAGCTGATTGAGGAAATAGTTCTGTTTTTTTTTTTTTTTTTTTTTTTTTTTTTTTTTTTTTTTTTTTTTTTTTTTTTTTTTTTTTT